CTCTATTGACAGGCAGGAGTAGTAATTGAAAGCTAAGTCTAGAGCCAAGCTGTGTAAGTTCAAATCCTGCCTCTGCCATGTATTGACTAGAAGACTATAGGTAAACTACTTAAATTCTCTGGGGCTTAGTTATACATTTGTCCAAACCCATAGAATACACAGCATCAAGAGTGAATTGTAATGTAAACTATACAATATACTTTAGGTGATTATGACATAGCAATGTAGGTTCATCAATCGTAAACAAATGTACCATTCTGATGGGGGACATCGATTATGGGAATCTATTCATGTGTGGGGACAGAGAATATAAGGGAAATTCTATACCTTCCTTAATTTTGCTGTGAACATAAATTTAAAAAAATACGGTCTTAGTTAAAAAATTAAAATAACCCACAAAAACCACCTTCATCTTGCATGCTATAAAAGAAAAAAGACAGCTGAATTTGGTTTCAGGGCCATAATTTGCCCAACTCTGACATATATTCTTATTCTTAAATATCTTTCTCTATCTTTTCACTGTCTTTATTTTTTTTTAAGATTTTTATTTATTTGAGAGAGAGAGAGAGAGGGGAGGGTCACAGAAGCAGACTCCCTGCTGAGCAGGGAGCCTGATGTGGGGCTTGATCCTGGATCCCGGGACTCTGGGATCATGACCTGAGCCAAAGGCAGACGCTTAACCAACTGAGCCACCCAGGCACCCCTCACTGTGTCTTTAGATCTAAAGTGAGTCTCTTAAAGACAACATGTTTGGTTCATGGGTCATTGTGCCAATCTCCACCTTTTAATTGGTGATTTTAATCAACTTACATTTAATGTAATTACTGATAATAACTTATTTTTGCCATTTCTCTTTTCTATAATCTTAAATTTTTTGTCTTCTATACATAATTTCTTTTATGTCATAACTTTTTGTTCCTCCATTATTGCCTTCCTTTGTGATTGTTTCTAGGGTAGCATTTTGATTCCCTTCTCATTTGTTTTTCTATTTTTAGTTTTTCTCTTTATTAGTTTCCCTGGGGATTAATATTACATCTTATAACAATGAAGTTTGAGTACTGACTTAGTTTCAATAGTGCACAAAACTGTTTCTTACAGATGCATTCCCATTTTGTCGTTATTGTCACGTTAACATCTTTATACATTGTGCCCATTAACAAAGATTTATAATTACTGTCTTATGCATTTGGCCTTACCATATATGAAAAAAAAGAGTAGTTCTAAGCCAAAATACAATAATACTGGCTTTTAAATTTACATATGTATTTACCTTTTCCAATGTTCTTTCCTTCTTCATATGGATTCAAATTACTATCTAGAGTCCTTTCATTTCAGCATGAAGGACTCCCTTTAGCATTTCTTGTACAGCAGGTCTACCTGTAATGAGTTCCCTGTTTTTTTTTTTCTGTAAATGCCTTAATGTCTCCATTTTTGAAGGATAATTTCCCCAGATATAAAGTTGTAGGCTGATAGGTTTTTTTCCCTTTAATTGTGGACTTAAAATATGTTATTACACTGTCTGTGGCCTCCATGATTTCTAAAGAGAAATTTGTTGTTAATATTATTGAGGATCTTTTGTACATGAGAGGTTTCTTTCTTGTTGCTGTCAGTGTTCTCTCTTTGTGTTAAATTATAGTGTGCATCTTTTTGAATTTATCCATCCTGAAGTCTGTTGAGCTTCTTGGATGTGTAAATTCATGTCTTGTATCAGATTTGAGAAATTTTGGGCCACTGTTTCTTCAGATATTCTTTCTGCACCTTTCTCCTTTCTTTCTGGGACTCCCATTATGTACTTACTAGTACTTTTGCTGGTGTCCCACATTTCTCAGTCTCTGTTCATTTTTCTTCATTCTTTTTCTGAGCTCTTCAGACTGGATAATCTTAATTAATTGGGTATATATCCAAAGGAAATGAAATCATTATCTCCGAGATATATCTGCACACCCATGTTTGTTGTAGCATTATTCACAATAGCCAAGAGAAGGTAACCAACTTGTTTGTCTACCAATAAGTGGATACAGAAAATGTTACATATACAAGTATATAACATATGTATATGTTTATCATATGTATATATAACACATTTTCTGTATATATAGATATAGATGCACATACTCTCATAATGGAATGTTACTCAGCCATAAAAAGGAAGGAAATCTTGCCATTTAAGACAACATGAATGATCTTTGAGGGCATTATTCTAAGTGAAATAAGTTAGATAGAGAAAGACAAATACTGTATCATCTCACTTATTTGTGGAGTCTTAAAAAACTGAATTCATTGAAACAAAGAGTAGATTAGTGTTTGCCAGGGCCTAGGGCATTGGGAAAATGGGGAAGTGTTGTTAAAGGGTACAAACTTCCAGTTAGGGGGCGCCTGAGTGGCTCAGTTGTTAAGCGTCTACCTTCAGCTTAGGTCATGATCCCAGGGTCCTGGGATCGAGCCCTGCATCAGGGTCCCTGCTCCATGGGAAGTCTGCTTCTCCCTTTTCCACTCCCCCTCTTTGTGTTCCCTCTCTCACTGTGTCTCTCTCTGTCAAATAAATAAAATCTTAAAAAAAACAAAAAAACTTCCAGTTAGAAGATGAATAAGCTCTGGATATCTTATATCCAGCTTGGTAACTATAGTTAACCATACTGTATTGTATACCTGAAAGTTGTTAAGAAAGTAAATCTTAAATGTTCTCTCACACATGCACACACATAAAGCACTAACTGTGAGGTAATGATGTGTTAACTACCCTTATGTGGTAATCATTTCACAATATTTACATATACCAAATCTTCACATTGTACACCATAAATTTATACAATGTTATATGTCAAACATATCTCAGTGAAGGTGAAGGAAAAAAAAATCAATGAACCAGTTCTTTCCTAGAAGTCCATAAATGAAGGAAAATGGCATGGAGTTAAATGGTATTCTACATGACGTTAGCATTTGCTTCATTTTCTCACCTACAAGTGCCAACAAATTAAAGTTTCCATTGTCATTGTTCCTAATCTACAGAAATCTGAGGGGGACTGACTCAGAATTACCACACCATAGTAACAGGTAAAATTTTCTGAGCTTTTAGTATGTGCCAGGGGCTGTTCTAAGGAATTTACACTATTAACTTATCTAACCCTCCTAATAATTTGATGAGGTAGGTAATCCTATTTTACAGTTAAGAAATGACGGCACAGACACCTTGGAAGATAGTTTTGTGGTTTCTCACAAAACTAAATATACTTTTACCATACAATCCAGTAATGGAAACTCCTTGGTATTTACCCAAAGTAGCTGAAAACTTATGCCCACATAAAAACCTGCACACGGATATTTATAGCAGCTTTATTCTTAATTGCCAAAACTCAGAAGCAACCAAGATGACCTTCAATAGGTGAATGGATAAACTGTGGTACCTCCTGACAACAGACTATTACTCAGCACTAAAAAGGAATGAGCTACTCAAAGACATGAAAGAAACTTAAGTTCATGTTACTAAGTGAAAGAAGCCAATCTGAAAAAGGGTACATATGTTCTGATTGTGACTATATGACATAGTGGAAAAGGCAAATCTATGGAGATAGTAAAAAAAAAAATCAGTGGTTGTGTGGGGTGAGAGGAGATGAACAGGCAGAGCACAATTTTTAGGGTAATGAGAATACTCTTATGACATTATAGTGATGGATATATATCATTATACATTTGTCCAAACCCAAAGAATGTACAACACTAAGGTACAACACTAAAGTAAACTATGGACTTTGGGTGATTGTGATATGTTAATGTAGGTCATCCTTGGTAAAAAAAAAAAAAAGTGTTACCACTCTGGTGGGGGATGTTGATAATGGGGTAAACTATGTATGTGTCAGGGGGTAAGTGGGAAATCTCTGTGCCTTCCTCTCAATTTTGTTGTAAACCTAAAACTGTTCTTAAGAAAAAAAACCCCACAAAAGTCTTAAAAAAAAACTAAGGCAAGGAGAGGTTGAATGAACTACCTAAGCAGTTCACAACTTAGCAAGTGTTAGAGCCAGGATTTTAACCCAGGAATTGGATTCATATTCTTAAGTATTATACCACACTGCTCATACACCACACAATAATGTGGCCTGAAACAAAGTCATGCTGACAAACCAGAAATTAGACCAGGCTAGTGCCACAAAAAATCCCCTTATGGATTTGTGGGTTGGGTGGCGGTAGGATCTCTGCCCTAGTTGAAACAGATTTCTCAGCTTGAACCACCAATTACATTCCTACTCTTTTTTTTGTTTTTTTTTTTAAGATTTTATTTACTTGCCAGAGAGAGAGAGATGGAGAGTACAAGCAGGGGGGGTGGCAGGCAGAGGGAGAAGCAGGCTCCTTGCTAAGCAAGGAGCCCGATGTGGGACTCGATCCCAGGACCCTGAGATCATGACCGGAGCCAAAGGCAGACGCCCAACCATCTGAGCCACCCAAGCGCCCCTACGTTCCTACTCTTAAAAGCCTCCCAAAGCAAAGTCCTTGTCATTGACTGAAATATCTTGCTTTCTAACTCAAACCTATATAAGACTACCTGGTGTGTGATTCAGGTAGGTACCTTCTCTTCTTTAACAAATCACCGCCTAAAATAATGGTCTAATTTTCCTCCAGAGATGTATTTCTATACCGGAAGAATGCTTGGTAAAAGACAGCCAACAGGAAGAATTGAATGATTTGCAAAATGTAAATGATTAACCGGATGGATAAGTGGGTGCACCGGGAAGTGGGCTTTACCCCCAGGACCTCTGACTTTCTCTTCGTAGGGAAGACTTAGAGGTAAATGAAGGGATACTCACCGGGGCAGAAGTTTCAGGAGGACACCAGATGTTTCTGTAAACTGAAAAATGAAACGCGTTTCAAGGAACAAACAAGAAACACAAACGCACCTTGAGTCTGGTTTTAAATGTACAGCAGCCATTCTCCCCGTCTCGTGCCTTCTGTGCACAACGGCAGGCCTGACATAAAGGGACGCGTAAGACATCTGGCTCTTTTTGAAGTTTGGTCACAACCCAACCTCTACGACCATCCCCGCCCCTCGCTTCTTCCTGCATCTGCAAAAAGAAGGTAGAAGACGATTAGAAAATCTGGATTCGCAGCTCTGGGTACGCTGTAGTTCTGACACCGTAGGTGGCCACCCCCTTAGGCCAACTATCGCCTCACTCTGTCCAGAACTATTCTATGGATCCTTCCAGCCCTAGCGGCCCTGGTCCAGTCCAAGTCCCGACTCTACGCCGGAGACCTTCATTCTGGGGCTCCACCTCCGACCTTCTGCTCTGGCCTTTTCTCCGCAGCCAGGCCCAGGACGCTGAGGCGTGTACTGAAGTGCGCGGGACCTCGGCATGGCATCCAGGAGTTAGGCCGCGCGCACAAGCCCTCCCCCGAATCAAGTTCTAGCCGCTCCATCCAGCTCTGGGTCAGGCACTAACCGCCCCCGAAGCAGTCGGGTCCGCAGAATCCCTCCTGTCGCGCCCCGCGCACGGCTCTCCGAGAACCGCTCCGCCCGAACTCCGGGCAGTGCGCGTCTCGGGCCAAGTGCTCAGGCGCGCGGGTCAGATTGAGTCCCACGCCTCTTCTGAGCGCGGAGGGGGCGGTGGGACGCCAAGGCGAGCGGGAATCAGACCCGGGAGCGACTGTCGGGACTAATTAGGGCCCGGTACCCTATGGGAAACGTCGCACAAGGCCCTGAAAAGTCGAGAACTCCGCCTTACGTTCCACTGGTTATGGGCTCCGCGCCCCGCCGCCCCAGCGCGGTACCGCGGTTTGCGGAGAAATCTACACACAGTCAGTAGTCCGCGGGGGAGTGAGGCCGCTCGCTGTGCCTGTTCCACAGGCGGTGGAGGCTGTTGGGTTTGGAACCCGGAGGTAAAGCCCGTCTGGGGCTAGGATTCCGGAGCGGGCTTGTTTCTGTGCGTGCGGCTATTCCCGCTCGTATTTAGATGGATAACTGCGGTAACTCCGCAGAAAATGTACGATTATGCCCCACTTTGATGCCGGAATGTAGGAGCCTGTGCTTGGTTAGTGGAGTGCCTGAGATTGTGTGTATCCGTGAATGCGGCTGTGCCTCACCGTGCATTATTTCTGGGATGGTTCTGAGAGGCCAACGCCTCTGGTTATTGTTTTCCACGCCTGTGGCTCACCAATGCTGCTGTGCTTGTGGGTCACACTGGATGTGTGGCATTTTGATAACCGCACGCTGGGTAAGTGTGCCATCAGGATTGTGACTCAGGCAATTAGATAAGTAAAATAATTTCAGGCATACATATTGGAAAGAAGGAAGCAAAATTATCATTACTTACAGGGGATAGCATCATAAGAATGCACACCTGGATCCATAACAAAATGTTGAAGTGAGGACTTCATAACATGCAGAGGAGTAAAAGCTGTATATATATTTATTGGTATATGTATTATATATATTTGTGTATATATATGTGTAAATTATATTTTTTTCTCCTTTACATGTATTTCACGATTTCTTCCTGCTCTTGGATATGAAGTCTTGGATGAGCCCAATAACTTCTGCAGTCACTCAGATTAAAAAAAAAAAAAGTCCTTTTAACTCTTTTTTGTTAAAAGATCAATCTCATTTTAGTGGTAAGTAATTAAGACATCTGTTTAATAATCAAAACTTCAGACTTCATTTAAAGCAAGAACTCCCACCTGCCCTTTCCCTGACCCACCTTCAAATATGGCTATATCATAATTACCGGTTAAAGCAGTATTTGGTATTTATATACTGATTATGTAAATATTTTTGTGCTTTAGAACCAAATACATTTTTTACACAAAGGTTCCTTTATCCTGGATTTAACTACCTTGTTTTTGTGCATATGTACCTTGTGTGTGTTCCTATTACTACCCTTTTCTAAATGTCATTACCCCCCAAAAAGTGTCAGACTCTCAGCAGTGATTTTTCCAAATGCTCAAACTTATTTGATACCGCCCCGCCCCCACTCCCTTCCACAGCCATGATTTTTGTAACTCCAGTCAGGATTTCAGAGTTTCTGTACAGCTTCCCTTCTTGCTTTGCCTGAATTGAATTCCTGTTTCCTGAGTCTTGTTAATTTGGCATATTTCTCATTTTTGCTGACTGCCTTTCTCCAACAGCTTCCTTAAAATGCATGCCTTTGAGGTAAATGGTTTGGGTTTTTGTTTTGTTTTTTTACTGTTTGAAAATGCTTTTATTGTAATCTAACTTATTGCCTGGGGTGAGAATTCTCTACCTCAGAATTTGAAGACCTAACTTCATACTGTTATAGTAGCTAACATTGCTTTTATAAAGACTCTCCTCATCTGTTTTCTGTTTGTGTGTTATCTGTGTTCCTAATCTTCCTGGAATGTTTAGGGTCAACTATATCATCAATGTACTAAAACTTCATAATTTCATTCCTTGGTGTGGATCTTTAAAATTTTTTTATGCTGCATATCAAGTGAGTATTTTTAATCTAGACACTCACATACTTCTGGGCAATTTTTTTTCTTTCCTTCCTCTCTCATTGAAATTTATTTATTTTTCTTTTCTTTTTATTTTTTTAAGATTTTATTTTTAAGCAATCTCTACACCCAACGTGGGGCTCAAACCCACAACTGCAAGATCAAGAGTCACACACTCCACTGACTGAGCCAGCCAGGCGCCCCTCACTGGAATTTATATTATTAGATGGAACTCCCATAGTGTAAGCTTCTATATGTTTTCCTCCTATTTTCTCTGTATCTTTTTATTCAACTCCAGAAATTTTGTTAACTTTATCTTCCAATTCTATTTAGTTTTTAATTACTCATCATATTTTTAATTTCCTAGAACTCTTTCTTGGTTTTAATCTTTTTATTTTTTTTAAAGATATATTTATTTATTTGAGAGAAAGAGCACATGACTGTCCAGCAGACTCACAGCAGAGTGTGTAGCCTGACTCGGGGCTCAGTCCACAACCCTGAGATCTGGACCTGAGCCAAAACCAAGAGTTGGACACTTAACCAACTGAGCCACCCAGGCACCCCTTAATCTTTTTCTTCTACATAGTATCTTATTCTTCATGGATGCAGTATTTTCTCTGATATGTATATAATTATATACATCTTGACATAATTATATATAGTATACATACTACGTTCATTATATTAAATTCATAATTATACGAATACTATTTTATATGTTTATATTATGCATAGGATGTATATTACATTCAATAATTCAATTATTTATTTATATATTTATTTCTTTAAAGCTTTCTTGGTTCCATGTATTGTCCTGTTTATTTTCTTGCTTTTTGTAATTATTTGGGTTGTGTTCTCTGAATTCCTTGACCTGAACTAAAAATACCATTCTATTTCATATTTTCACTTTATTTCATTTTGAGCCCATTTATTAACTTAAAATTCTATGCTCAAGTATATATATGAACATAAGTACGGTTGAATGAATAAAAACAACAAACTCCTGTAGACTTACCATTCAGTTTAAGAAAAAGAATATTATCGGGGTGCCTGGGTGGCTCAGTTGGTTTAGCATTGGACTCTGAGTTTCAGCTCTGCTCATGATCTAATGGGTTGTGAGACTGAGCCCCATGTCAGGCTCCGGGCTCAGCAGGGAGTCTGCTTGAGAATTCTCTCCCTCAACCTCTCTTCCCACCCATGTGCATGTGTACGTGCACGCTCACTCTCCCTCTCTCTCTCAAATAAATCTTTAAAAGAAAAAGATAATTATCAGTTCCTTTGAAGCCTCCTATATGCTCCTCCCCAATCACATTCCTCTCCCTCTCCCACAAAACTAACCACCACCTGAATTTAGTCATTCCCCTGATTTTCTTTATTTAGCATATATGTACATTTCATAAATAACATATTGTTTAGATTTGCATGTGTTTTGAAATTTAGTGAAATAACATTCTATGTATTTTGTCACTTTTTAAAAACTCAACCTTATGTTCTGGGGATGTGTGTTCATTTTCTCACTGCTGGATGGTATTGTGTATATATGTCAAATTTTGTTTGCATATACTACTTTTGATGGATATCTGATTTCTTTCCAAGTTTTTCCCTGGAAAATAGCATCTACAAATGGTGCTATTTTGAACATTTCTGTGGGCCTTTAAAAGTTAGTGTGTTTTAGAGATGCCTGCGTGGCTCAGTCGGTTATGGTTTTGGCTCATGGTTTTGGCTCAGGTCATGATCTCAGCGTGAAGCAAAAACTAATTGAACTGAAAGGAGAAATAGGCAAATCCATAATTATAGCTAGAGACTCCAACACCCCTCTCTCAACAATTGACAGAACAACTAGAAAAATAGCAGTACAGATACTGAAAAACTCAACACCATCAACCAAAAGGATGTAATTGATACTTAGAGAACACTACCCAAGAACAGCAGAACAAACATTCTTTTTAAGGGCTGTGGAACCTATACAAATATAGAACATATCGTGGGGGTGCCTGGGTGGCTCAGTTGTTAAGCGTCTGCCTTTGGCTCAGGTCATGATCCCAGGGTCCTGGGATTGAGCCCCACATCGGGCTCCCTGCTCGGCAGGAAGCCTGCTTCTCCCTCTCCCACTCCCCCTGCTTGTGTTCCCTCTCTGGCTGTGTCTCTCTCTGTCAAATAAATAAATAAAATCTTTAAAAAAAAAAAAAGAACATATCGTGGGCCATAAAACAAACCTCAACAAATTGAAAAGCACTAAAATCATATATAAGTTGCTCTAGTCAAACTAGAAATCAATAACAGAAAGATAACAGGAAAGTGAACAACATACTTCTAAATAATCCATAGGCCAACTTCCATAGGAAGCTTCAGAGGAAAATGCATTAATCTGAGTGAAAATTAAGATATGGCGGGCGCCTGGGTGGCTCAGTTGGTTAAGCGACTGCCTTCGGCTCAGGTCATGATCCTGGAGTCCCGGGATCGAGTCCCATGTCGAGCTCCCTGCTCAGCAGGGAGTCTGCCTCTCCCTCTGACCCTCTTCCCTCTCGTGCTCTCTATTTTCATTCTCTCTCTCTCAAATAAATAAATAAAATCTTTAAAAAAAAAGAAAATTAAAATATGGCATATCAACAATTTGTTTGACATAGCTAAGGTACTGCTGAGAGAGAAATTTAAAGCATTAAATGCATACATGAGAAGAGGAAATGTCTCAAATTAATAGTGTAAGCTCCCACTCAGAAACCTAGAAAAGAAGAGGAAAATAACCCCAAATCAAGTAGAAAAAGGGAAATAGTAAAGACAAGTGGAAATCAAAGAAAACAAAAACAATAGAAAAAAAAATCAGTTAAACAAAAAACTGGTTTGGTGAAAAGATGAATAAAATTCACAAATATTTAGGAAAAAAGGCACAAAATATAAACATCAGGAATGATATATCACTATAGATTCTGTAGACCTCAGAAGGATAATAAGGAATAATATGAACAATTCTACACATTTTAATTTTACAACTTAAGTAAAATAGACCATTTCTTGAAAAAGCATAAACTGCCAGCTTATACAATATGAAATACATCATTTGAATAGCCCTATAACTAATAAGGAAATTAAATTTGTAATTTAAAAACTCACAAAAAAAATCTACAGGCCAGATGGTTTCACTGGAAATTTACTAACATTTGAAAAGAATCAGCACCAATTTTATATAATCTCTTCCAGAAAACAGAACAGGGAACACTTCCTAATTCATTTTATGGAGGTAGTATTATCCTGATTCCAAAACCAGACAAAGACAGAGGGGGAAAAAAAAAGAAAGAAAAACTGCAAACTACTATCCTTCATAAATTCAGTTACAAAAATATTTAACAAAATATTACCAAATAGAACTCAGCCATCCTCTATCTATCTATCTATCTATCTATCTATCTATCTATCTATCTATCTATCTATCTATCTATCGTAATGTATAGAATATTACCAAATAGAATTCTGATACAGAAGAAGAATTATACAACATAACCAGGGGTGCAATGCTGGTTCAATATTGGAAAATCAATCAATGTAAACCATCATATAAAATGTTTAAAGAAGGCCCTGGGGGCACCAGGGTGGCTAAGTCAGTTAAGTGTCTGCCTTCAGCTCAGGTCATGATCTCTGGGTCCTTGGATCAAGCCCCACAGTGAGCTCCCTGCTCAGTGGGAGTCTGCTTCTCCCTCTCCCTCTGCCATTCCCCCTACTTGTGCTCTCTCTGTGTCTCTCTCAAATAAATAAATAAAATCTTAAAAAAAAAAAGAAGGCCCTGAATGTCTAAAGCAATCTTGAACAACAACAACAACAACAAAAAACACTGGAGGTATCACAATTCCAGATTTCAAGTTATATTACAAAGCTGTAGTATTCAAAATAGTATGGTACTGGCACAAAAATAGACACATTGATCAATAGAACAGAATAGAAAACCCAGAAATAAAACCATAACTATATGGTCAATCTTTGACAAAACAGGAAAGAATAAGCAGAAAAAAAATAGAATATCTTCATGTCCTTCTGGTAGGCAAAGTTTTTAAATAGAATGAGACATCAACAATAAGTAAAATATTAATAAGTTGAACTTCATTTAAATTAAAAGCATCTGTTTTTCAAAAGACAGAGTGAAAAGGCAAGCCATAGCCTGGAAAAGATACCTACAGTACATATATCCTACAAAGACTTCATATCCTAGTATGTACAAATACCTATGAATAAATAGAAAAAAAAAACCCACAAACTGATTTTAATAAAATAGTCAAAAGTTAAACAGGCAGTTCAACAGAGACGTTATCCAAGTTACTGGCACATTAAAGGATGCTGAAGTGAGCATTCATCAGGGAACAGATTAAAATCACTCTGAGATACCACTACCCACCTACAAGTATTGTAAATTAAAAAGGCTAATAATACCAAGTACTTAAAAGGATATGGAGCAGCTGGAACCCTTTACATTACTGATACAAGTGTAAATTGACACAACTTTGGAAAATGATTGGTAGTATCTCCACAGATAAATATAAACCTACTTTATGAGCCACCTATTCCACTTTGGATTCCTAATAGAAATGAACGCTATGTCTACCAAAATATATAAGATTGATCATAGATTTATTTATAACAAAAAACTGGAAACCCACACAAATATCTATTAATATAGAATGAATAGATTGTAGCACGATTTAGAGTACTGCAGCCAGCAGACAAAATATGGCCCATCACCTGTTTTGGTATGGCCAATGACCTCAGAAAAGTTTTACATTTTTAAATGGTTGAAAAAAATAAAAATAAGAGTATTTTGCAATATGTAAAAATTATATGAAATTCAAATTTCAGTGTCTATAAATAAAGTTTTATTAGAATACAGCCACACTCGTTTACATATTGTCTATGGTTGCTTTCATGCTAGAATAGCAGGGTTGAGTAGGTGTGACAGAGAACATCTGGTGCACAAAACCTAAAATATTTACTAGCTGGCTAAAGAAATTTTTGTTACATTCAATAATATGTACTCATCTCAGAGTCTTAATGCTGACAAAAACATGCCAGAAACATATCATTACAGTGACTGCATTCAAATGAAGTTCAAGAACACACAAAAGTAATCCACGGTGTTAGAAGTCCAAATAATGGTCACTTCTGAGCAGAGTCAATGTTTACAAGGGAACATTCTGGCATCTTGGAAATAAATGTTCTCCATCTTGATCTGTGTCCCGTGATTGCCTGTGCATGCAAAAATCATGGAGATGTATATGTAATATTTATGGACTTCCTCTAAATTATTCCACTAAAAAAAAATTAGGACTAAATTTGCATTTTTTATCTCTTTTTTAAATAGAGATTTTATGTATTTATTTATTTGAGAGAGAGAAAGCACAAGCAGGGCAGAGGGAGTGGGAGAAGCAGACTCCCCGCTGGGCAGGGAGCCCCAAATGCGGCTCGATCCCAGGACCCTGAGATCATGACCCGAGCTGAAGTCAGACAGTTAACCAATTGAGCCACCCAGGCACCCTCATCCCTCTTCATTTAACTATAAAACTCATTTTTTCAAATTATTTGCTAGATGAAATTAAGTTTCTCCCCCTCTAAATCTTGAAAGGAAATTGATGCTGCAGGCTGCTGTGTTCAATTTAGGTCGCCATATATAACTGCTTAAATTTAAAGGTATTAAAATTAAACAAAATCACTAATTCATTCTTCAGTCAAACTAACCATATTTAAGAGTCTCAACAGCCATAAGTGGCTAGTGGCTACTGTTCTGGACAGTGCAGATACAGAACACGGAACCGAGTTTTGTAGAAAAGTCTATTGGACAGCAGTGCTCCAAAACGTTACACAAATGTTAAACTCATTTTACAGGTGAGGAAACAGAAGCTTAGAGATACCACTATTACACAGTGCTGCATACACTTCGTTTCCCACATTCACTGCTACAGGTGAGCTCTCAACGTATCATTCATTTAACAAGTCTAATTATGTAGGAATCTATTCAAAATTCATAACCATGCAAAGAAAAGGTTTCTTTGTTATAAGTTATAAAATACTTAGTTGCAGACTGTCTGATCAATTCCAGACATCACCCTTATACTCACACCGTCCCGAGACGCTCTCACATAACCCCGAATGGATCACACGCTTATCCACTAATATCCCTCTCACAGTTTCAGACACAATCGGACACACGGCACACTGCCCGCAGTCCTCGCTTCCCTTGCAGAGGACACTTGGATACAAACACGCGACCGCGAAGTAAGCGTCAAACCCCCGATGCCTCTTGAGCAGAAACCTGGTAGTCACAACTACTGCGTCTGAGCCAGAGCTCCTGTCTGAGAAATCCGGACCCTACCTCCTGGCCTTCTGCAGCTTTCTCAGCCCTGGACTACATTTCTCTGAAGGCATCACTACAAGACCCAGCTTCTGGTAACCTCCTTGGGATTTTCTAGGGTCACTTGAGTAAAGGAAATAGGTCGGCTCACACCTTAGTAGCGCGAGATCCCCCGCTGGAGCAAAGGAGACTCAAGGCGCGCCCGATTTCGGGCAGCACAATGTGGCTACGGCCTCTGCCTTCTTTTGGATCGAACTGGGGTCACATTTTTTACTACATTTCCCGGAGGCCAGCGCGTCCCTGCGCCATTTCGTACGCTCATTCCGTTACGTCTTGATGCAAGGATCCAGTCTGCAGCGGCCAGGTGAGTGGACCGCCTCGTTGGGATCCGCACGCTGCATTTGGTTTGGAGCACCCAGAAAAAAAGTTCCCATGTGGTGCTCGGAATACCGGTATGCCGGCTGGGGCTCGGTGCTGACAGGAAGCGGGGCGACCCCGGCTCTGGACTACGTTTCTCCTAAGTCGTAGCGCTCCAGGTTAATTCCTTACGGAAGTCGGCCTCGCGTTTGCGGGATGCCTGTGCCCTTCTCGTCGGCAATATCGGCACCGTCACTTCGGTTCCGAGCAGGGGCGTGGCGCTATTGGTTTTGTTCCTCCGCGCCGGTGATAGTGGCGTGCACTTGGCACCCCTTTCCCACTGGCAGACTCGGCACCGTGACTTTGGTTCCGGGAGAAGGGTATTAGGAATATGTTACCCGTTACCGCGCGGGATGTGTGTGTGTCCGCTTCTGTGGCGGCAAGATGGGCTCACCTGCCATCTTCTACTGCTTTTGGCGGCTGGGATCCTTCGCACCTGAGTACTTTACCCCCCGTGTGACAGGCACAGAGCCCGTTGAGAATCACGCGGTTCCAGCTGCTATAATTCCTTCACTTTACTATGCAGAGAACGTGCCTATTTTGAAGCTGTCCATATAATGAGGATTTACACCTAAGAAGGGAGAAGACCAGCATAAAAGATGTCCCGTTCTACTTGCAGAGCGCGGTGGGGAAAACCAATCCCATTCTCTGTCTTGAAGTTGTTCTGGGAGATGCTCCTAAATTGTTTTGTTGGCTCTGAAAAAGGCTTGATATCCTATGATTGTTTTCTCCGTTTTACTTTTTCCAACAGAGCCACACAGGGAAGGAAAAAGAATCTTGCACGTCTAAAAAGCTTGCCTAAAATAAGTTGTCATTTTCTTTCTTCTCTCAAGTTTCCTACTTTTCAAGATGTTGCTACCTCCAGCAACAAACATCTTAAGGAGGAACCAGCCATTCAGTGACTGGTCGTTAGGCATCGCTATCCCCAGAAATGATGGCGCTGCAGGGATGAGCTAACTCCATTCTCCAACCACACTACACCTCTCCTTTTCAGCCAATGACAAATCAGCCCTTTCTGGCCTGATTTTTGATGAGAGGGAACTATACCCCCTGGAGGAAATTTGAAGATTTTTATTTTAACTTTATTACGAAAATTTTCAAGCATAGAAGAAAATAATATGAACCCCAATGTGCTCAACACCCAGCTATAATTTAAAACATTTGCAAATATCCTTATATCTATCCTTCCTCCTTTTTTCTGTAGCATTTCAAGAATTTACATAATTTTATCCATATGTATGCATATGTAACCAAAAAGAATATCATTTTTAGATAATCACCATGATGTTATCCCAACTTTAAAAACTAACAGTAATTCCATAATAGCATATACACAGTACATATTCAGGTTTCTCCAATTCTTTCAAAGATAGGTTTTTACAATTGATTTGTTCAGATTATGGTCCAGATAAGGTCTACACAGTGCATTCAGTTGCCAAGCCTCTTAAATTTCTTTACAACAGTTTCCCTTCTATTTTTTGCTTTTGTTGTATTTTAATTGGTATCACTGTTTTGTAAAAAACTAGGTTTTTAAATTATTTTACATTCTGCTTTTGGCTAATTGCTACCTTGTGGTGTCATATAATTTGTTCCCCAATGCCCCGTATTTCTGTAAATGACTAGTTAGATCTAGGGGCTTGATCAAATTCAGATCATATTTGCATAAACCACATTTTCGGGCAAAAATAATTCATAGTTGGTGCTGTGTACTTCCTATTCATCACATCCTGAGGCTTTTGAAGTCTGGTGTCCCTCTTCTGGTGATGCCATATTGATCAGTGTTCAAGTGCTGTCCACTTAATCCTTTTATAAGGTTCCCTTTCCTTTTTCACCTATTAATAGAAGAAGGTATAATATAATTCATCTGTTTTACCCTAAAATATACTTATAAAGATTTCAAAGCAACAATAGCACTGTTACAACTAACTATCAAGATAGGGAATGTATTTAAATTTATTTTGGTTATCATATTTTCTATATTTAATGTTCATGTGTTATATTTGGTTATGTCCCTTTCATCTTTTAACCAAGTGTAAATGTTCTTCTCATAACATTGATTTTTTAAAAATTTTGATACATTACACTTACAGAAAAGTTGCCCCCCCAAATAATAGAATGAACTCTCCTATGCCCTTATAGATTTATGAATTATTAACATTTAGTTTTTTGTTTGCTCTTTCCTTCTACATATGTACTTTTTTTTCTGAACCATTTGGTAGTAATTTTCAGATATGTTTCTTTATCCATAAAAATCAGTGTCTTTTTCTAAGTACAAGGACTATCACTATAGTTCATTTATTAAAATCAGGAAATGTAACATAGATATAATAATTATTTAATTCAGAATTCATAGAAAAATTTCACTAGTTGTCCCAGTACTGTCCTTTATAGCTTCCTTCTGCTGATCTGGGCTCCATTCCAGAATCATATCTAGGATCAAACATTTCATTCAGTTATTACATCTCTTTAGTCTTCTTTAATCTGAAACAATTCCTGGGCCTTTTTTGATCATTATCTTGACATTTTTGAAGAGTACAGGTCAGTTATTTTGCAGATTGTTCTTCAGTTTGCATGTCTTCAATGTTTCTTCCTGATCGGATTCAAGTTACGGATTTTTGGCAGTAAAGGTGCTTCAGTTCATTCCCCAGTAACTTCAGTTGGCTGCGTTTTTTACTGTCTACATTGATAGTACTTTCTGTAGGGAAGTTAGTCCAGGAGGATCTTTTTTTTTTTTTAAGATTTTATTTTATTTATTTGACAGAGACACAGCGAGAGAGGGAACACAAGCAGGGGGAGTGGGAGAGGAAGAAGCAGGCTTCCCGCAGAGCAGGGAGCCTGATGCGGGGCTCGATCCCAGGACCCTGGGATCATCACCTGAGCTACCCAGGCGCCCCAGATCCAGGAGGATCTTAATCATCATTGGAATTGGAAGTCTTCTCAATTTATTTAGGTTTCTCTTTATATAAATGAGGTTGAACATTGGCTTCCTTTTTTATGAATTGTCTTTTTTAGTTTTGTCCTTTTTTTAAAAGATTTTATTTCAGAGAGAGAGGAGAGAGCATGCCAACATGAGCAGGGGGAGAGGCAGAGGGAGAAACAGACTCCCTGCTGAGCAGGGAGCCCAATGCAGGGCTCGATCCCAGGACCCTGGGATCATGACCTGAGCTGAAGGCAGACGCTTAACCAACTAAGCCACCCAGGCGCCCCTAGCTTCATTGGACTACGTTTCTCCTAAGTCGTAGCGCTCCAGGTTAATTCCTTACGGAAGTCGGCCTCGCGTTTGCGGGATGCCTGTGCCCTTCTCGTCGGCA